AAATAAGCCCTCAGGTAGGGGTTCTTCCCCACCCTTAGCCTTAGGCAGCAGTTTCTGGCATTCAGGGATACTGTAGCCTCGGAAACGGATGCCCTTGAAAAAGAAGAGTGAGAATTACAACCAAATTATTAATCTGTACATCATAAAACAGACTGGTCCTAATCATATCAGACACTCAGTGGGTAAACACACTTGACACTCAGCCTGACGGCCTGAGTTTGATCCCTGGGACCCCCACAAGTTGTCCTCTGCCCTCCACACTTACAATGTGGCACTTGTACCTGGGCACACACATGAACATGCACACACAAAGTGGAAGTATTTATTAAAAAATATTATATATATATATGCTAAACGAAAACAAAACAAAAAAAGCCAGGCATGGTGACGCACACCTTTAATCCTAGCACTCTGGAGGCAGAGGCAGGTGGATCTCTGAGTTCAAGGCCAGCCTGGGCTACAGTGTGAGATCCAGGACAGCCAGGGCTACACAGAGAAACCCTGTCTCACAAAAAACAAAGATATACAGAGAAACCCTGTCTTGAACCCCCTCCCTAAAAAACCCACAACAAAAAAACTCCAAACAAACACACAAAAAAAGAAAAAAAATCTTATATTCACTTACTTAAAAAAAAAAAAAATCTATTTATTTTTTTGAGATAGAGTATGTCTATGTAGTCCTGTCACTCACTATGAAGACCAGGGTGGCCTTGAACTCAGAGATCGACCAGCCTCTGCCTCCTGAGTGCTAGGATTAAAGATGTGGGCCACCATATCTGGACATTTTTATTATTTTTAATTGTGTATGTACATGAGTGTGTGGGTGTAGTATGTCTTAACTGCTAAGCCACCTCTCTAGCCCCATATATGGTTTGGTTTTTTCTTCAATTAAAAAAAGGGGGGGGCAGGGGGGCACATGCCATGAGTTCAAGGCCAATGTGGTGTATACCGTAAGTTCCAGGCCAGCCAACGGTAAGACTTCAAAAAAACAAAACAAACAAGAACCAAACCAAAACAAAACCCTAGTGCTTTCAAATATTAACTCTTCAAATGTTAAACTTCTGACTTTGTTCCCTTACTCTGTACTCAGGTGCTCTAAGGAGAAAAGCATTGGCTTCCAAACTGGTTTGTACGGTCAGAGCCCACTGGCAATCACTGACGGATGACGGTGTCTTACCTCATCAGGATCAAGAACTGATGTTTCATACACAAGTCCTTTCATGCCTCTCATGCCACCATACATCTACAGGAAAGAAGTGACCAATCAGAGCGGCTCAGACCATGGAGCTCAGAGAAGACCTTTACCTCCTTACTTGCAAGACACACTCAGGGGGCAGTTTCTGGGGTGATTTCTAGAACTAAAGCAGCGTGTCATCAAGGTCTGCTGGTGCAGGGAACGGACGCTTGCACCAGGCCACTACTGTTTCTTCAGTGTTCCAGCCTTGGCTTCCTTCTCCTGACCGATCTCAACCCCTCCACATTCCCTACACTGAGTTAAACGGAACTAGATCTATTATGGGCAAAGGGAAGGAGGCAATGACTAAAAATTGTTAGCTGAGTTGCTCAAACTCCTGTGGCTGAGGAAGTTATCCTAAGGCTGTACAGAGGATTTACTGGGGCTACAGCTGAACTGGATGGCTGCCACAACAATCAAAAGACAGTCCAGCCCTAGCTAAAGAGCTGGGAACAGAACCAGAAACTACATGTATCTTTGTCAGAGGTGAATAAGGTTAGGCTTAATTATTAAATTTGCAGAAAAGAACTATTCTCTAATGAATACATAACATTTCATTGTACTGAATAGAATACTTCTGAACCACCAGTAAAGAAATGGTAACTTTGCAGCACACATTACAGGGCTACTTTCCCGTCTAAGACACCATGGCTTACCATGTCCACAGTGATCTGGCCCACCACCGTCTTCCCATGTTGCTGTCTGAAGGCTTTAATTCTGGCCTGCTCCTTAGGTATCAGATTGCTCAGTACATCTTTCAAATTCTAGAAAGAGAAACAGAAGGGTTAAGTGATAGGAAAACATAGAGAGGGGGCTTCCTACTGTAAAGAAGGTATGTGAAGACTGCCTGTTATCATTTCTGTCTGCCAGGAATGGGGAGGAGGGAATGCAGAGCTTCATTTTGCAGAGATGAAAATGTTCTGGATATGGACAGTTATGTTCACTTGAATTTAATAAAAGAGCTATATAAGACCCTGCATTAGGAATTAAAAAACAAACAAACCTTAGCAGTAACTTTTATTTCATTTAGGGGTTATGAGTATGGTCTGGTGGCAAAGTACTTGCCTAGTACGTGTGAAGCCCTGGGTTTAATGCTCAGCATTATAAAAAATAAGAGGGGAGGGAACACTTACTATTTCCACATTACTACACTTGATAAACTATTTCTTAAGGGGCTGAAGAGATGGCTCAGTGGTTAAGAGCACTGGCTGCTCTTCCAGGACCAGGGTTCAATTCCCAGGACCCACATGGTAGCTCACACCTGTCTGTAACTCCATTTCCAGGGGATCCAACACCTTCACACAAACATACATGCAGGCAAAACACCAATGCACATAAAATCAAAAAAATATTTTCAACAGACTTAAGATAGCAAGGCAAGTAGCTGCCAAACACTCTACCCTGAGTCAGACTGCTGGATTCTGTACTCCTTGCCAGATCTTACCGTGGAAGAACTGGCATGCCGGACAGCAAAAACAAGGCAGGATGAATTCTGCAAAGAGATCAAGACAAAATCTTATCAACATCCTTCCCTCCTTTGCATCAACGAGTCGCAGTGACTGCCTCTCCAGTTTCACCTTTTAGGACTTTTGGCATCAAGTTTTACCAGGCCATAAATAGCCTGGCAGAAGCCTACTGCTCATACCCACACTATCACTAGTATTCCTTTAAGAGTTTCTCTCCTAGGCGGCAGCGGTGGCGGCGGCAGTGGTGGTGGTGCACACCTTTAATCCCAGCACTCGGGAGGCAGAGGCAGGCGGATCTCTGTGAGTTCAAGGCCAGCCTGGACTACAGAGCGAGATCCAGGACAGGCACCAAAACTACACAGAGAAACCCTGTCTCAAAAAACCAAAAACCAAACCAAAACAAAAAGTTTCTCTCATACACCTGGGTTCCTGGACAACATAGTTGTTATATAGAGCATTTAGTCCATCCAGATTTAATTGTCAATATTTGTGAGTGGCTGCCCAGAAAACTGGCCGATTACTGCTGCTGCTAAGACATCTCCATCACCTAGTTTTCCAGCACCACTCCACCTGTCCAATCCAGGACAGCCTAGAGGCAGGGGGCAGCCTTTCACAATAGGGTTCCTAACCCTTCTGGCTTCTTGTTTTCCAGAGAATCAGAAAGGAACAAGCAGATGGGATTACAAAGATGCTCATCTCAACTGACGCAAACTTCAAGCATGTTGTCTTGCCCCTGAAAAGAGGAACAGGTAAAGATTATCCCACCTCTTCATCCCTCCTGGTTTTAAAAGCACATATCTACAAAGAAGCAACTAACCAAAACTACTTAAGACCAGAAATGGAAGAAGAGCTGGAGGGATGGCACCCAGGCGGCAGCTCACAACCACCCCATGACTCCAGTTCTGGGGAATCCAATGCCCACTTCTAGCCTCTGAAGGTTCCAGGCATGCAAGTGATACTTGGGCATACATGCAAACAAAATACCCATACATATAAAATTAAAAATTACAAGAAAAAAGAAAGTCAAAGAAATGAGAGGATTTAAAGGCAGTAAGTCACCCTGGATGCTCTGTGTGACATTTGTTTTAGGTGTCCGCTTGAGAGTATTTAAAAATACCCAGAGTAAAGGTGTTTCCAGAAGTAATCTCTTCTGAATGTGAGTATGAGTGGACTAAGTGGAAAGACACTCCCTCAACGTGCGTATGAACCTCATCAGCAGGGGCCTCTGAGAAAAACCAGAAAAGGTAAATCAGTCCCCTGTCTCTCCCAGCTAGGAAATACTTTTCTCCAAATATAGACACCAGACCTCTTCCTTTGAACACCAAGACAGACAGACACTTCCTCTGCCTTTGAACACCACGACTGACAAGATACTGGCATTTCTCAGGTACTCAGGCTTATGGACTTGAACTGAAACACATGCCCACTCTTCCAGGTGTCCTTCTTGCTTCTATAACTGTTAGCACGCACACATAGACAGATACACAAACACATTTTTATTTTTTCCTTTTTGGACAAGGTATCTTATGTAGCTCTGGTTGGCCTTGAACTCAGAGATTAGCTTGTCTTTGCCTCCCAAATTCTGGGTTATAAAGGCCTGTGCCACCACACGCCTGGCATTTTCTTTCTTTCTTTCTTTCTTTCTTTCTTTCTTTTTTTTTCGAGACAGAGTTTCTCTGAGTAGCTTTGGAGAGATCCTCCTGGCTCTGCCTCCTGAGTGCTGGGATTAAAGGCATGGGCCACTCCAGCCACCCAGCTCACTCCTGGCATCTTTATATGTTATCTCTGTACACTGTACACAGTCATCTTACTGACTCTCTAAACCCTGACTAACCAAGTATTCAAAATGATAACGGGAAAATTCAAGTCAGAACAACTTTAATGACAAAGAACACAGAGTAAATACTGATGTGGTGGTACAGACCTGTCACCCCAGCACGTGGGACACACAGGCAGTAGGATCACAGCTCCTAGGCTGCCCACGTCTACAGAGTGAGACCCACCTGACAACAACACGCAGGGGGCCGGGGCGACGGCTCAGCAAGGGGGAGCCCCGGCCGCCCTTCCGGAGGAGCTGAGCTCCCGGCACCACACTGCAGCTCACACCTGTCCTAACTCTAGTTCTCCAGCTAACACCCTCTTCTGACTTCCACAGCCATCGGGTACAGGCGGTACACAGTCACACATGCACGCAAAACACCCATACACACACACACAAAAATAATTTAAAAATCAAAAATAAGGAGTATGGGGATGTAATGCAAGTACTTGTCTAACATGCACAAGACCTTGGACGCCCCCCACACCACTCCAGAACTTTACACAGTGATACAGCCTATAACCCCAGCACCCAGAAGGCAGAGGCATGAGAATCAGAGCAAGATCACCCTCAGCTGCATGGGTTTGAGCCCAGTTTCAACACAAAGAGACTATGTCCTAAAATAAATAAATAAACACATTAACGGAAATTCAGACTTGGATCTCAGACCTTAATTTCAATCTAGTTACATGAAAAAAAAAAAAAAAACCCACAGAAGTCCTAACTACAGGTCGTCTGCCATTTTCATCCCGTTACTTGGCTATGACACCTAACACAATAGCCTCACTTCAAATCTCTAAAATGGTAATAAAAGGCCAATTTTAGATTGTAGGAGATGGCTCAGTGGGCAAGAGTGCTTACTCTGCAGCATAAAGACCAAGCCCAAATCTCCAGCACCCTCATAAAAGCCAGATATCAGTACTAAATTGCATTTTGCTATCAAATAAATGTAACCTGTAAGTTCTTTTCAGAATGTTTTAACATATGTATGTTAAATGCATTTCTAGTCCATACCTAGTATCTTGTAAAAATATAGGCTGTTATAAAAAAAAAAGAAAAGAAAAACAGTAACAATAAAATAGGCATGGCGGCTTGTACCTATAGCTCAGAAATCACTCATATACATAAATTTTAAAGCACGTAGGACACTGATTTGTGCATAGGTAATAAATTTAGTACTTGTTTCTTAAAAATGCACTGGTCTTGTATGGCATGGTGGTGACATGCTTGTAATCCCAGCACTATAAAGGCGGAAGCAGGAAGATTCAAGTTCCAGGCTAGCCTGGGCTACAGAGTGAAACCATGTTTTTGAAAAAAGGAGTCAGGTGTCATGGACACAGGCCTAGGAATTCAAAATCAGTCTCAGCTACATACCATATCCAGTCTGAGGCTACCTGAGCTATGTGACACCCTATCTCAAAAGTAGGGGAAAAAAGAAAGGAAGAAAAACAGAGAAATGTGTTGGCTATAACATACCACCAAGTGTCAAAACTCTTGCATCACAAGAAGATTCAGTCAGACCCTAGGAAAGGGTGAATGGTTAATTTCCTTTAGCAATAAAACAGGAAATAAAACCTTCAACTTCCTATTTTCTTGGGAGGGATAACATTTTTACCTTTTTTGAGACAGGATCACCTATGGTACAGATTGTTCCTGAACTCACTATGTAGCCAAGGCTGGCCTCAAACTCCTGATCTTTCTGCTTTCTACCAGGGTGCTGGGATCACAGGTTTTTTTGAGACACTACAATCAAGGGTATTCTGGAACTCTGTATACAATCACGCTAACCTGGAACTCGTGTCCAATACTCCTGCCTAAACCCCTAAAATCTCCACCAGCAGCACTAACAGCTCTAGTTAGGAGGTGTTTGAGAACGGTGACATACAAAGCCACAAATGCCTCCACTCAGCTACCGTGATTTCCACAGCAAGCTGCGGAATGGCCGTAGGCATTATGCTCAGGCTGTCCTCACTGGCCACTTTCTGAATGTCTGCCTCCCAGCTCCTCCCCAACCCTGGAGCTGTGGCAGCAGGGACCCTGGCTTCTGGCTGCTTGCCACAAGTAGTCACCTCATTGACCGGCAGCTGTCAGGTGAGTCAGGCAATTGCTTCACTCAACAGGTCAGTTCCTTCATGGGGAGAGCCAGAGAGCTGCTAAAGCTTGGTGAATAATGGCTGACAGCCAGGATTCCCTACTGGGGAAAGTGGAAGGACCATAATCATTGACAGGCTTTTTCAAACCTCACAGGCTGTTGCCTTGTACTTGCTCATTCTGTTTATTTATTGAGGTTTTTTTTTTCTCTCTCCTTCCCCCGAGACAGGGTTTCTCTAACAACTCTGGCTGTTCTGGAACTCACTTTGTAGACCAAGCTGGCTTTGAACTCACAGAGCTCTGCATTTTATTTATTTTTTGAGACAGGATCTCATGTAGCACAGGCTGGCTTTGAATCAATGCTCCCCGTGTTGACTCCTGAGAGCTGGGATTACAGATGTGCTTGTTTTACACCTGAATGATTACATCTGGCTTGTTTAATTTCTGAGACAAGGTCCCACTATGCAGCCCCAGCTGGCCTGGATCTCCTGTCTTGGCCCCATGGCAGCTGGGACTGTAGGTACAAGGTACCTTGCCCAGTGAGTTTGCTATTATTGATGGAAGTACATTATGATTCTCAAAGGTGCAGACACCAAAAAAAAAATATATATATATAAAATCGCCTCAGGGGCTGGAGAGATGGCTCAGTGGTTAGGAGCACTGCCTGTTCTTCCAGAGGTCCTGAGTTCAATTCCCAGCAACCACATGGTGGCTCACAACCATCTATGAGATCTGGTGCCCTCTTCTGGCGGGCGTGTGCATGTGCGTGTGCGCGTGCGTGCGCGCATGCGTGCGTGCATGCAGATAGAACACTGTATACATAAATAAATAAATCTTTAAAAAAATATAAATAAAATAAAATCGCCTCTATCTTACAGGACTACAAGGGAAAAAGACCAATGAGTTCTATGCAGGTAATGCTTCAAAAGCCTTTTCTATAGTACTTAAGAATATTCTGCTAAAAAAACAGGACAGTGGGCAAGTTATCAATATCAGTGAACTACTTCAGGAATATCTGGATAACCACTGAATATGGCTCTTATACTCTTACCCTTCTTATCTTACTACTACTAATTCCTATGAAGGGTTCTCTTTTACAGGGGAGAAGACAACTTT